ATTTATGTATACATATACACACACACACCGAATGCATATATAGTAACATATTAGCTATTTATGTATACATATACACACACACACCGAATGCATATATAGTAACATATTAGCTATTTATGTATACATATACACACACACACCGAATGCATATATAGTAACATATTAGCTATTTATGTATACATATACACACACACACCGAATGCATATATAGTAACATATTAGCTATTTATGTATACATATACACACACACACCGAATGCATATATAGTAACATATTAGCTATTTATGTATACATATACACACACACACCGAATGCATATATAGTAACATATTAGCTATTTATGTATACATATACACACACACACCGAATGCATATATAGTAACATATTAGCTATTTATGTATACATACACACACACATGCATATGTATATATAAAACCCCATTGGGTGTGTACACCAGCCTCCCCACACATATACACACACACACATACACACACATACATATGTATATATAAAATGCCATAGGGTGTATGTACTAGCCACACACACTCATGCACACACACACACACACACAGAAATTGAGAAATCGCCCTCCTGAGGGGATGGCCATGCCACAGTCCCTTCTCCTCCATTCTCCTCCTGGGATTTTGGCACGCACGCACACACATGCCCAGCATGATTTTCAAGCGTCCAGGTCCAGGACTTGAACCATGGCTGGCCATGTGGGAATCTAGCACCTAACCGCCATGCCATCTGCTGGCCGTACACACACAAGTTTATACACATTTCAGATGCGCCTCACTGTGCCCTCGCCCTCCTGCCCCAGCCTCCAGTCGGGACTACAGGACCGTCACTGCGTGCGGCTGTCTGTCTCAGACAGGGTCTTGATGACGTTGCCCAGGCTGGCCTTGAACTCACAAGCCTCCAGCCTCAGCCTCCCTGAGGTAGTGGGAGTACAGGTACATGCCATTGCACCAGCAATGCACTGGGCGAGACTGGGAGAGACTGGGCGTTGAATTCGGGCCAGGCCTCCTCAGGGCCCAGCCTGCAGAGCAGTGTCTTAGTAGTCTATGCCATGCCAGCTGGGCCAGAGCTACCTCTTTTTTTTTTTTTTAAAAGAATTACTTATTTAATTCCATTTATTATTGGTATTATTATTATTTTTTAATTTGACAAGACAGAGAGAGAGAGAGAGAAAGGGAAAGCAAGAGAGCAAGCCACCAGGTCTGGGACTTGAACTGTGGTCAGCCATGTAGGAATCCAGTGCCCTTAACCACCAAGCCACCTGCTGGCCCCCCACACCCCCGCTACCTCTTTTTATAGGCTGTGTGGTGGCAGCCTGCTTTGCAGAAGTGCTAGAATTCATTCACCTTATTCGCTAAACTTTTTCCAGTCTCTTGCAATGAGACTGGGTTCTATTCTTAGCTGTACCAGGAAGCTCTCCAGGTTGGGGGGCGGGGCACGGCAGAAAACAGTGCATGCTCAATAGAGGTGGCTGGAGAGTTTAATTAAGAGGCTACTGGGACCAGCAGATGTGTAATGGTTACGATTCTGGACTCCCATGTAGTCGACTGTGGTTCGAGTCCCAGACCTGGTGCTTAAACCTCATGCCAAGTGTGTGTGCGTTCATGCCTAGAATCCCCAGGGGGAGAATGTCGAGGAGAAGGGATTGCAGCATGGCTATCTCCCACCAGGGAGTGAGTTCTCACTTTCTGTCTCTCTGGTCAGTGCGCACACCGTATACAAAAATCTCTCTCTTTAAAAAATAAAATAGAAAAAAGGGCTGTTATGGAGTCAGGGCCTCCAGAGATGTGGAAGCACTCCAGGAAGCCATTAACTCCCCTAGGCCTAAAGGGGAAAATGGGAAGCAGAACAGGGCTACTGGAGCCAGTCAGGGCAGTAGCCAGCAGCCATTCCCCGCCTCAGGAAAAAGCAGCCACAGTGTGTTGGTAAATGCTTAAGGACCAGCCTCCTGGGTAGGCCCTGGTTTGTAGTGTTGGCTAATTTCTGTGGTGTAGACTCCCACGCTGTGGAAGCCACCATCATGATGGACTGTGTGCAGGGCTGGGGTGGAGCCAGCCCCAGGGAGCCAGCTCCAGCACACCAGCCGTGGCGGCTCACCAGCAAGGCTGCCTCCTCCATCGTGCCAGGGCCTACTTGTTGACTGAGCTCCGCCAAAGCCAGAGAGCAGACAGTCCGACCCCAGGGCACAGGGCAGGCTATGACAAAGGTGGGTTAAAACTGGGTAGGCTGGGCTGGCCCTGTGCCCTAGTGGTTAAGGGAGTCAGATTCCCAATGGCTGATGCATAGTTCGAATCCTAGCCATAGAAGCTTGAAAAACAAGTCAGGTACACGTGATGCATGCCCTAAATCACGACAGGATGGAGAAAGGGAGAAGACTGCAGTGTGACCATGTCCCACGGGGGTGGGGGGGGTCTCTTAGTATGGTTCTCTTAGTATGGTCCTGGTCCTCTTCCGGAACTTGTTCGAATTGGGGATTCTTGAGTTCCACCCTATACTGACGAATCTGTGGCTTCCGGTGGTTGTACTGGTTGTATTTTTGAGAAACACTGACTTATACCATCAGCATTTACCGACAACATACCAGCGGTTCCCACACCTGACTGAAAAACAGCCTCAGGTGGGAATGTCAAACACACACATTCACACGCGCAGGCTGTGCGTGGATCTGCTGTCAGAATCCGTGGGAACCAGGATCTATGGGCGATGCTCTGATTTGAACTGTGGGGTAACATCAAAGCTGTTTAATCACTTGCCTCCCTGGTCCTGCCGGTTCTTTCTCCTCATGCACTTTGTGCTCAAGCTCCTCAAACACTTTCAAAGTGTGACTGGGAGAAGGCAGCTGCCTCAACTGGGACTTGGCTGTGACCGACGTGGGGCTGACTGTCCCAGCCTGGAGCAGGTGGTGAGGGGACAAGGAGGTGTCGGCTTCGGAGGCCCCTGAAGTCTGACCTCAACATTGCTCTGCGATTATTTCACAGCATTACCTGATGTCAAATTTTAAATGCAAAGGCCCTATTTCACAGTAAAGTCATAGTGATGTGGGGACTCGCTAGCCCTCTGCCTGACTCCGGGTCTTGATGGAATAGCCTGGCGTTTATTATCAGGGGCATTTAGGACAGGGCTTCTGGGACATGAACTGAGCAGTTGTTGGTTACTTGAGGCTTGAGTTGGTTGAATACAGCTCTCCTGCACGGAGGAGAGCCCTCCCTTTGAGTTGTGAAGGCTTTCACGATTATAAATAAGGCTGCTACCAACACTTCTGGATAGGCTTTGTGTGGGGTGTCTTCACATCTTGGGTAAATAGCTAGGAGAGAACCTGCTGGCTCTTAGGGTAGGTGTGTGTTTAACGGCTCAAGAAACCGCGTTTTCCAAGGGTCCCATTTAGACTCCCACAGCTCCGTGTGGGGTTTCACTGCTTTATATCCTCGCCACCACCTTGAATTGCCAGCCTTCTCCACTTCGCCCATTCTGGTGCGTGTACAGCGTTGTCTATCTCCCTGAAGACTAATGATGTTCACCCCTTTCCAAGTGCTCACTGACCGCACTTAGAGCTTCTTTAGCGAAGGACGAAGCAGGACTTTAACTGACTTGTTTGTATCATGATATTCCAAGCGTATTTTTTTCCCACTGCAGTTTCGCCCATGATCTCAGTTGCCTTTGATTACTCACCATCCTGAAATCCATGAAAATACCATGAAATTCTGAAATGTCACACCTCTGAGTATGCGGTTCCCTCTGCTTCTTCATCCTTCCAGGCCCAACTCAGATGCCATCTTTGCTGATGGCTACCTCTGGCCCAGCCGTGTCTGCTGCCCTCCCACAGTGTGGCTGTACTCGCCATGCTGTGTGTAGGTCCTTCCGGCCAACTGGAGGCAGGGGCCTTGTGCTACCCTTGTTTGCATTTATGGTAATTATAACATGGTCTGCCATGGAGCATAGGCAAAATACATATTGCCGAATTAATTTATTATCCGTTCGATCCTCCCAGCAACTCTGAGAAAGACTTAACCTTGGTCTGACATGAGAGATAAGGCTAGATGTTAAGGGTTAAACCCAGATGGATCAAGTGACTCGTCCAAGGAGACACATCTGTTACTGAGCCAGGCATCACTAATGCGTTTTCCAAGCAGCCGTGTTGTTTTAGGCCCAGTATCCTTTAACCTGGCTAGGTAGATGTACACATGCACAGGTAGACTTTTGGAGTATGATGGCGGGAGTTTTAAGGGAATCTATTGGGTCATCGGAAAAGTCATGACGCATTTTTTGCATAGAAACATACGCCATGACGTTTTTGACAACGCAATGTTTCCAGTCCCGCCACTGGCACGTGCACTTGTCTTAAACTAACTAGCCTTAGAAATCCCCAGTTCAGGGGAGACTTGATGTGGGGTTGGCTGTCCCACCTGTCCTGTAGGAGTTTTAAGGGAATCTATTGGGTCGTCGGAAAAGTCATGACGCATTTTTTGCATAGAAACATACGCCATGACGTTTTTGACAACGCAATGTTTCCAGTCCCGCCACTGGCACGTGCACTTGTCTTAAACTAACTAGCCTTAGAAATCCCCAGTTCAGGGGAGACTTGATGTGGGGTTGGCTGTCCCACCTGTCCTGTCAGTGTTCCTTCTCCCACTGCACATAAAAAGACCCTGTGCCCATTTGTTCCTTCCTGAGGTGCACTGCTACAAGATGGAAAATCCCCAGGCCATGAAATAATCTGCGGTGGGGGCACTGGACTCCCACATGGCCGACCACGGTTCGAGTCCTGGACCTGGCAGCTTGCTTTTTCACTTTCCCTCTCTGTCTCTCTCCAGTGGGCACACATACTCTATAGCAAATTAAAAAAAAAATACATGAAGTAAATAAAATAATTAAAAAAGAAAATCCATCGTGTTGACCTTAATGACAAGAAGTCTGCAATTCAGGGGTTTCCACTTCTTTGCTTTCATGGAAATTGAAGGAGACCCTAATCAAGCTGCTATCTGATGACTTAAAACTTTTTATTTACGACAGATCATATCTGGACTTAGGCTATGTAACTCAGAAGGCCTTGAAGAATTAAGTTACATCACAGCAAAACTTCCATTACCATCTGCTTTTTAAAATTTATTTTAATGAACAAGGTTTCTCATGTGTTAAAATAAAAACAAACGGATGAAAAACTCAGGTAGGAAGACAACTAATGACGTACCATATCGCTAGCAAAAACGGATACTCATCCATGGCAAATAAACGAATTAAAACAGAAAGCCCCATACATTTCATTAAGGTGTACATTCCCAAATCACTTTTTTCATTTTATATTTAATAGTCATCAGAAACTGTAACATATTGTTCCCACCATTTCTGTAGTAGTAATAGTTGTATTAAACCATTAGACAACCCGGAACAATTAAATCACTTATGGTAGTTGTGGTCTATAAAGTTACACTGAACACTGAACAAAGGCTGCAACATTACTTCTAGGGGGAAATACAGGGTTTAGGTTTCTGCAGGTCGCTGGTCACATTCTGTCAACCAATCAATGCATAATATTTTATGTGTGTTTTTGTCTAAATACAGCTTATTGAATATACTTTTTTAAAAATAATAGTTATATGCAGTGCTTCTCATAATAAAACATGTTTCAATTGCAGCATTATATAACGTACATTACAATGACATGCACGGCACTCAGAAAGCCACACGCAGCACACATACGGCACTGTGAACAGATTGTATACTCTATAGTACAGCAAGGCAGGGATAGGTGGCTCTGAAAAAAATCATTAAACAAAGATGAAGCTTTCAGTTTTATAAAAACATGAACTAAAATGACTGGATGGAGCTACAAGGATGTGTGATGGTTAATGCCCTGTGGTTTAACCTCTAAACTTTGGCTCACCCATGAAAACCAGAGGAGAGGCTGAGGAAACTTACTCTGTAGAAGAGGAAGACGCCAAATGAGGGGGGCGTGTTGTAACCTAACCTATCTACCTCACGAGCTTGGCTTTAGTGACTTGACAGTGTTGCCAACTTTCCCTTTAAAACTGGCTTGAAAAACTGCTTCAGCCTTGTCTGCCTGGCTTTCTGTCTCAAATCTCTAAGCATCTGGGAATAAGGGACAAATGCAGAAGCCAGGTGTTTAAATGTGAGGCTGCGCTCAAGCACAGGGTCACATTCTTCCATGTCACCAACATTTTTTCCAAGGCAGAATTCCATTCTGATATCTTGGCCATTGTGGAAGGGACAATTCTTGGCATCTCAGGCTGACTTTCATCCCTGCCTCGGATGCCGTGGTTTGCCATGTTGTCCAGGTCTCTGTTGGTGGGCTCTACTGCCTTCTCTGCCAAAATTTCCTCTACATCTTCTATCATGTCGTTGAAACCTTCTTCACTTATCTGCTGTGCAACATGCAATATATTTTTGACACTGTCCGTTATATTTTCTGTAACACCTTTGAAGTCTGAAATTTCTCACAGTCCGGCCATTTCCCCAGAGTTATTGGTAGTAGCTTGCTTGACACAGTCCCAGGCTGTGAGCCACACTGCATATGGTGACTGATTTCCAATAGTCTAGCGCAGTGTTTTCATCATTAGCCTCAGGAACCTCGTAAGCCCTACTGTAAAGCCCCCCATGCAGTCTGCCTTGAAAGCTTTGATTATGCCCTGATTGAGGGGCTGGATGAGATGTAGTATTTGGGGGCATGGAAAGAACCGCTATGCTGGAGTGGGCATTTTCGAGTTCTTCGTGGCAATGTGGGGCATTATCCAAAATGAATAAAACCCTGAAGGCAAGGCTCTTGCCCTTGAGGTAGCGTTCTGCTTCTGGGCTGAAGCAATTATGGAAGCAACCCTGGAGTAATCCTGATGCCATTTCTGCTCACCCCACCTCCAGTGGGCTGGCACAGCTCATCTCTTTACCTCCAAGTGCTTGTGGCTCTGGGCTCCATACACCGTTAGGGCTTGCACTTAAAGTCACCCTTGGCATTGGTATACAGTAGCAGGGTTGCATGGGCTTTGCATCATTTCAAGCCAGGGGCTTTGGTAGCTACTTGCATTACATAGGTTCATTTACCAACGTTCTTATAAAACCATCCAGTCTCATCAGCATTGAAAACCTTTTCTTCAATGTGACGTTTTTCATGTACAATGCTTAGCAGGGATTTAGAAAATTCTTCTGCAGCCTCTTGATCTGCAGAACCTGCCTCAACAGCAAGCTTAAAACTGTTCATGCTGTTTCGCCATCTGGAACATCAAGCCAGCCTGCACTAACCGAGAAGGGCTTAACATCTTCCTGACCCTGGGTAACATGACTGTCAATTTCTTTGGCTTTCAGTCTCATAACAATGCCATCCACTGTGCTTTTATTGGTCTTCACCCCGTGAATCCACAAACGTAGCTGCTTTCCCATCTTTTCCACAGCTTCATCATACACTATAGATGATACTCCAGCATTTTCTGGAAGAGCCTCATATAGATTGGCGAATCTCCCCTTCCTTTTTCTGGATGTACCACATCGTTGATTCATTAACACTGAATTCGTGGCCAATGGCGTTGTAACTCATGCCTGCTTGAAGCTTATCTAATATTCGTATATTCTCTGTAAGACACATCACAGTCTTCATGTGCTTAGGAATATGAGACAACATTTCAGCACTACACTTGGGAGCTATTTAAAACCATGAAATCACAATTAAAAAACCCATAAAATTTGAAAAATGTGGCATTATATAGACTAAGAAAAGACCATTTCTTCACAGTATAGCCACAGCAAAGAAACAGATTGTGGCCTAGTCCAGGCTCAGTGGGGAGCGTGCACACAAGGTGATTCCAAATTCTCACTGCTGTGTGTCCATAAATGACTGAGAAAGTGCTGCACCTACTGAGTTGGGGATACATTTACATTTTAACAAGCAGAGTTCACAAAACAGAACTTGTGAATGATGGCTTGTATTTGTATGCATCTCTTACCAAAAACAGTGTGATCACTAAAACTTTCAAGTATAAAAATAGATTACATTAGGACATAATTCTTTGGGAGCAGTGGAATGGAAATGAATTAAAGGAGAAAACAAAAGTCTGACTTTTAAAGAAAATGTATTCAAAAAATGTCTAGATGGAGAATGGGTGTTATTATCTCTTATATTTCAAGTATATACATATTTATCGGTTTGATTTTAAAATATTGATCAGAACGTTAGAAAGTATATCCTTTGAAATGATTTAAAATAATGAAATTTAGCTAACTACATATGTGGTACATAATTTTTGAAAATTCTTTTAGGGAGGAGAAGAGCAAAGTGAACTAGGAGTCATCTTTGGTTTTACTATTCCACTGAGAAAACGAACCTGGTCAATTCAGAGGGGGAACTCAGCACTTTCGCTTCAGAAATTCCAACTGTAGGGGGGAAAAAGGAGCCCATTTTTATCCCTCTTGGCATCTCTGATCATACTGCCTTTGATTTGCAATGTTAGAAGTCCCAAGCACTTGGACATGAAACTGCAGTATTCCTGAGCGCTGCCGGGTGGACCGCTGTGATTGCCCCCAAGGACAAAAGTGTCTGGGATGTCCTCAAAGGCTGCAACTCTGGACGGTGCTTCAGCGTAATGCCAACACTTAGTATCTTCATGTGCAGTTCGGAATAGATTTTCTCAACCAGTTACAGTAACTCCCAGATTACAAAAACAATTTTATTGGTGTTTCGGGCTGCTTGGATTGTTCTGGCCGTGGGTCAGGTCTTCCTCCTTACCGTGCGGCGGGCTCGTCCCTCCCGGCCCAGGGCACCGGGCAGGGCCGCAGCGCCCCCCGCCGGCCGGTCTGGCTCGCCTCCC